TTTCCTCGGAGCATTGCTGTGCACGTCCGTCAGCTCGGTCCCTCCCTGCCCTGGTGTCAGCCCTCACGACGTGCACCGGCGACACCACTCCTTTCAGGGGCCTTGTCGACAGCCTGGGAGATTACAAGAAGCAGAGAACTTTCCCTCTCACCTCGGCTGCAGGAAGTGGAGCCTCTTTTGCTTTGGAGACCAGCTGACCTTGAGCCTGTGCGTCAATGGGCTGGACGGCAACCCAGTTTGCCCACACCTTTGAGAAGACCTGACCTTGCGGGAAGACTGGAGAGAGGTCCTGTGACCCAGGTCTCCCTAAAATGGAGACAACAGGGCGTTTCCCCAGGGTCTTGGGACTTCGCCATCCCAAGACATCAAATTGTGTTTGTAAGACCCAGATCACTCGTATTTTTGGAGAAACAAGTAAACAGCTCTGTGCTCTTCGTACTAAACCTTCGGAGAGTTGGAGGCCCTTCCAGAATAAGCACACTGAGCAGCAGTCAGGGCCTGGGCACCTTCTAGTACCTTCTAGGGCAGGAGAGGTAGAGGGTGGAGGGGAACTCTTCTTTCCGTGCAGGATGGCACGGTCTCTTCACCCAGCATGCCACGTCAGTGTCTGATCAGCCCACGGCGAAGAGCGGAGTTGGTGCCTGACTTTTGTCACACACGAGGATGTTTCGGGTTGTTTTTCACTTGGTGGGACTTTCATATTTATTTGTCATCTTCCCATTCCGTTCTGTAATATCACCTCCTTGTATTGATTTGCATCATCCTCTGATGACAAGGAAAATTCTCGTTTGATAGGCACCTACTGGGTGTTATGCTTTGGGGCCCTTCACAGGTTGTCTGTCTTTATCTTCAGAAGAGTCCTGGGGTGTGGGAGGTAATGTCCCCATTTTATATGAGCAAATGGAAACTCAGAGGGGTGGCGTCCCTGCTTCAAAGGCACACAGCTATTAAGAGACAGAACCAGGGCTGAGATTCATGTAGGTCTGACCACATGGGAAGTACGTTCCTCTTTCTGCTGTTTCGTGCCCCTCTCTCGTGTTGCCAGGGGAGGGGACACTGACCAGTGCGAGCTGCTCACCTTGCATCAGCCAGTTCAGCGGACCTGGGGCTGCGCGGGAACCCAGAGTGGTCCTGCTTAAAGCAGACGGTGTCTCAAGGGGCAGCATTATCTATTTTGGTGGTTGTCGTCTGCTTGCTTTCCTTTCTCCGTCTCCCTTTTCTTCTCTCTCGCTTAGCAGGAAGGGCACTCTTGATTTTATAATTGAGCACGTCTCATGTTTCCTTTGAGGGACTGATCTGTACTTTTCTGGCCTGTAGTCGTAGATCAGAGAGCAGGGACATAGAGCAGATGCGGGGACGTGGAGGGTGTGTCGGTTAAGGGGTGGACTCAGGGCCTGAAGGCTCGGTGTTCACAACTTGGCTCTGCCCTCAGCAGGCAGTATGGACTGGAACAAGTTGCCTGACCTTTGCCAGCCTCAGTTTCCTCACCTGTAAAATGGGCCCGCCCTACATGGAGTAGTTGGGGTGCTGATAAAATGTTGGGTGCAGTGCCTGGCCTGAGGGATGTGCACACTTAGTTGCTGCATTGTTGGTGGTGGTGATCATTCATTCAACATGTATATTGATCATGTTGAACAAAATAGACAAGGTTCCTGCTACCATGGACCTGATGATCACGCAGGAGAGAGAAATACTAAGCAAATAACTGATAAGAAAATTTCAGATGGTAATGAAGCAAGCACCTATTCCAGCGGCGTGCTGGTGAATGCTCAATATCCAGTTCTCGGGGGGAAAAATGAGCCAGATTGATAGCATTTACACCAATTTGTGTGGTGTAAATACTCCTACCGTGGCTGATTTCAAGCTACCAACAATGACGTCAGCTGGCTCCTAAAATTCCTAAAAATTTAACAGTTGGCTCTCGCAGAGCTGGAGGAGCTGGCCCGGCCCTGGCTGTATGTGAAGGATGTGGTTCCAGAAAGACCTGGAGACCCGAGAACTAAATGTATTGGTGGGAGAGAATTCCAAGCTGAGAAGATGGCTGTGCAAAGGCCCTGAGGCCATGCAGAGCTTGACATGCGTGGGGAACAGAAGGATGACTGCTGTTGGCAGAAGCCTAATGGGGCGGAGGGTGAGGAAGGCGGAGGCTGGGCTCTTGGAAGCCTCACAGACCACGGCACCGCGTTTCAATTTTATTCTAAGGCCACAGGAAGTCTTTGGAGGCTTGTAAGCTGGGGAGCATCTTGGCCTGGTTTGTATTTTTAAAAGATCAGTGAGCTGTTCTGTGGAAAGACCAGCAAGAGGCCAGTTAGTGGGCAGTGGTGGCCACTCCAGGGCGAGGCAAATGGTGGCTTGGGCTGCACGTGCCAGCGGGGGAGGGGACTAAGGTAGCTGGATGCAGGTGGATGCATGCTGGAGACATGGTGGATTTTATCTGCAGGTGTTCCCCAGGTATTTACCGTGAATACACTCTGCCTGCAATTTCCGTTCTTCTGCCATCAAAGGAGGAAGGAACTTCAGTCCATCGTGGCGCTGTCTACTTACTTTCTTCTCTATACGTGATGCTGTGTTTACCACTTCCTGATAAATCCAGGCTGCGAGATGAGGAAATGTATTTATCTTGGCTTCAAATGTGAAGCAAAAACAAAATCTCTTCTCAACACTGTCCTGCTTCCTTTGATTTTTGTCACCGAGAACAGTGCCCTGTTCTTCAATTTGCATGGAGGAGAAATATAAGAGGCTCCGACGTGGGTGTCTGTCTTCGCCCTAGGGTGTCTCTTGGGTGTGCATCAGACACATAGGTGCATGCCATGGGTGTCGGCCTAGCAGATTATGGAAAAGGTTGTCATCTGCCACTGCTCCATTTCCAGCTTGTCTCTTCGTATAGTTTTTAGATGAGTACGAGAGAATTCTGTTTTCTAGACCAGCACTGTCCAACAGAACTTTCCTCGATGATAGCAGTGCTCTGTGTCTGTCCACTACCATGGCCTCTGGCCATTTGTGGCTATTGACCAATCGACATGTGGCTAGTGCAACGGAGAAACTGGATTTTCAACTTTGTTTAATTTTTGTGTTGGACAGCACAATTCTAGACCATGTGTAATCATCCGCTGGACCTTTATTTTTTGGCAGTTGACTAGAGATCCTACTGAAAGTTTGTAGAATGTTATGGAAGAGTGGGATCTTAGTTGTAGCTTGTCATAGTTCCCCTTAATTTGCAGAGACGGATTCAATGATTTGCCTAGCGTTTCTCAGCTGGGGAGTGGCAAGACAGGAACTCATCTTCAAACTCTCAGCTCAGTACACTTTTTTTTTTAATGTATTTGTCAAACCCATGGTAATTTTCACAAGTTTCCAGACATATATTCTTCCTATAACATTGTGAATAAATTTAAAGTCCTCTACACAACATTCCTAATATTGATCTCTTTCTCCATCCCTACAAGTGATCATGGTGTGGTCAGTTTGGAGTGCATCCTTCTACATCTTTTCCTATTACATTTACATGTATATAAATGGGTAGGTTGAAAACATTCTGCATTTTAAAAGTAAGTTGTATCACACTACCTGTATTTTTCTACAAATTGCTTTTCTCTTTCAACAGTATGTCTTAGATCTTCCTGGAGCAGTCCAGAGATCTCTACCTTATTATTATTATTTTTAATTGCTGCAGTCTTTCATAGCCTGGATATCTCATATTGCTCACTAAGCCTATTGATATAACTGTTGATTGTTCATTTTTTTTTTGTTTTTTTAGTAAACATGTTTGTGCATATCTCCTGCGTGCACTATATTTCTGCTAGGTACATACTGAGAAATGAAATTACTGGATAATAGGGAGTATGTGTTTTTCATTTTCGTAGCTGCTACTCTAATTCTCTTTAAAATGGTTATACCAGTTTATGTTCCTATCAGCTGCGTGACAGTGCCTATGTCCCCACAGTCTGCAAAACACTTGCTATAATCAAATATCTACATGGGTGCCAAGCTGAAGGTAAACAGTGGCATCTCATGGTGGTTTAACTTGCATTTTCCTCTTTACTAGTCACGTTGAACATCTTTTCTATGCCACTGGCTGTGAATTGCCTGTTCAAACCTCTTGCTCATTTTTTCTTTTGGATACTTTTAATAATTCATTTAGCAAATACATGCTAGGATGTCTACCACAAGCCCAGCATTATTCGAGGTGCTAGGGATTCTGTGGCATATCAAAAGATACAGACATTCCTGCCCTCAAAGAAGTGATGGTCGAGGTGTAGGGGAAGGAGCTAAGCAAAAGGAATTGAGAAAAGACATTGTACGTTAGATGGGATGAAAAGAGAGAGAAGGAGATGAGGGAGAGCCACTGGGGTTGGTCCTCAGTTGTCACTAGGATGGCCGGGGAATCGTGTCCTTGACTTACTCCCTCGTACAGGCCTTCTTTATACATTCTGTGTACTAACCTTTGGTCTGTTACATGTCGAACGTTTTTCTTCCAGTCTTTCATTTTCTTTGGACTTAGATGATGATACTTTCACCTTGCTTATTCTTTTTCTAAGTAACAAATTCAAACGTGTGCATTGCAGTACAGGCATGTAAAAAGCGAGTGTTCTTCTTCCGGTCTTCCCAGACAACCGTTGTCAAGAGCTCTCTCGCAATTATTTTCTGTCCTCACCACCAAGCAACAGTCACCCTACCCAGAGCACCAACTGCCATTTAAGCATAGTTTCTGGCTCTTTCCACATAAATGAAATTCTCATCTACCACATTCTTTCTTATGGCCACCTAGTGTTCCAGTGTAGAGAGGATCCCTGTGATTTACTCCAACAGCCGGCACCCCCTGCCCCACCCCGGGCAGCACAGTGGCTTCCAGGTCTCCATTCCTCCAGACGAAGCAGCAGTCCTGTGCTCTTTCGGCTGCTCGGGAGCTTCTCTGATCTTTCTGTTTGTCAGACCTCGGCTGCCACACTCTGCACGTCCAGAGCACTGTGATAATTTGATTTTGTTCTCTCTCCCCCCAGCTCCACGGCTACATGGAAAACAAGTCCCTGGGGCTGCAGATCTTCATCGGGACAGCCGATGAGCGGATCCTTAAACCTCACGCCTTCTACCAGGTGCACCGGATCACGGGAAAAACCGTCACCACCACCAGCTATGAGAAGATTGTGGGCAACACCAAAGTCCTGGAGATCCCGCTGGAGCCAAAAAACAACATGAGGGCGACGTAAGGCCTGGGGCTGAGGAGGGCAGTGGGTCTTCAGAGGGATTGAGTCGGGGGACACGGCAGGGATTTGGGAGAGGGGACTCTGTGGAGTTGACAGATGGTGGTTCCAGCCTGTGACGGACCAGCGAGATTACTGTTCTAAAAGTTTCTATTTGAACAGTTCTTTACATAGGTATTTTTCATGTGTATTGGGAGGAAGAATACTTATGCATCTTTGGATTATGTTGGTTGGGATGAGACTAAATTGGATTTACATTTTAAAAATTTTTTTAACCTAAAGGAAATTATAAAGTGATGATGCAGAGAGATCAAAACTCACCAAGTAGTTTGCATGTGGCTAAAATTTGAGGATCATTGACCACACCCATGTGTTGGAGTTTAAAAAAAAATCTTTTTATGAGGAAAAAAAATCTCAAACTTACTGAAAAATTGAAAGAATCATACAGAGCCCGCCTGTATACTGTTCACTCAGACTTCCCAAGTGTTAACATTTTTCACATTTGCTTTATCATTCTCTCCTCTTTTCCTGAACCATTTGAGAGTTGCAGAAATCATGTCTTTGGACTTTTTAAATACTTCTGTGTGCATATCCTAAGACCAAGAATGCGTTCTTACGTGACCACAGTGCATTTATCAAATTCAAGATGTTAATGTTGATACACTACTCTTATCTCTCGAGTAGTCCAGAAGCAATTTTCGCCAGTTGTGTATTTGAATTTTTCAGGCACTTTGAGAGTCAAAAAGTTGGCATGAAAAAAATCTCCCCAGAGAAGTGATTTCCACTGGGATTTCTCTAATTACTTCACAAGTGTATTCCCCCCGCAACCCGCTCTTGGTATAAATCCCTGGCTGGAATACTTATCAGTGTATTGCAGTTTCTTCCTGTGTCTGGCTGTAGAATTTTTTAGCTTAACTAACAAAGGTGGTTTTGCAGGCGATCCTTCCTGCTTGCTAAGACGGTCGGTTTCAATGGGGTTTTCAACCTTCCTGCAGCATCGACTGCGCAGGCATCCTGAAGCTGAGGAATGCGGACATTGAGCTGCGCAAAGGCGAGACGGACATTGGCAGAAAGAACACACGGGTCAGGCTGGTTTTCCGGGTGCACATTCCAGAGTCCAGTGGAAGGATCATCTCCTTGCAGACTGCATCGAACCCCATCGAGTGCTGTAAGTGGGGCTCTGGGCAGGGTCGGTCTTTGGCAAGTGAACTGTACATGACCTCCCAGCAGCCACCTCTCCCCCCACGCCCCGCCGCCGCCTGGCAAGGCCCCTGGGGCCAGGTGCCCGGCAAGAACACGCAGGACCCACAAGCATCAAGAGTGGGCCCCAGAGGACCAAAGGGACTGGAGCCAGAGCACATTTAAGGGTTTCTCTCTGCTTCTATTTACTTGTGGAGGGTTTTGTGGCCTCACAGGAAATTAAAAAATAATACGGCTAATGAGTAGCCTACAGCTTTGTTGAGAGGATTGGAGATGCATAAATGTCGTTCTGGTTTTTAAAAGGGGTAGGCATAGTTGGAGTGAGTTCGCTGTACATCGTGCCCTCTTTTTCTTTTCCTCTGTTGTTCTTTCAGGAAGGATAACGATGATATCACGGGGGCTCTTGCTCACTGAGCTTTGGCTCTCCCGGCCCCTGGGCTGAGCGGGCAGCATGCAGTAGCTTGCTGAATATTCACAGCCATCCTGGGGAGGAGCCGGTGTCTGTCATGATGCACACTGTAGAGAAGAGGAGGGAAAGAGATGAGGGGTAGGGTAACAGAACCAAAACGTGGCAGGGTCGGAATTCGAAGGGGCGCTTTGACGGTCAGGAGCCAGCCCCCGCAGCCCGTCCCTGGTGGTTCCCCAAGAATCCTCCCAGTGTCTGGTGCTGTGCCTGGGGTCTGCAAAGGAGCGAGATGTTTTCTCCGTCGGCAACGAGCTGCAGCCTGGTGGAGATGAAGATGCCCACACAAAGATGCGGGATGGTTTCAGAACCCAGTGTACAGCGGCTAAGGTCTGCCATTGGGAAGGGCTCTGGGCAGAAACCAGGCTCATTTCCACCAGGTTTTGAAAGAAGCAGCTGCTTTGAGCTCATTCTTAGGTGTTTTTTGCCAGTTGTGGTATTGGTTTTGCAATAAGATGGAACAAAGCTTGATGTCCAATTTTTGAGAGTTTAGAAATCATTCTTAAAAGCGTAAAGAAGAAAAAAGTCAACGTTGCTTGAGGAATAAAAGCAGTTTATATTATTTTTTTAGCTTCTTGTAAGAATTTTATCACGTTGTTTTAATCACGTTCCATATTCCATTATGTTTCAGAGGTTTTTTTCCTGTTTTTGTGCATTTTACTGTCAGTAGGTGTCATGAACCCAGTTTCCCACAGAGGCTGGGGAGGCCATGGAGATGCGCAGAGAGGGCCAGGTGCGCAGCAATAGGGAGAGGTGGAGGCTGGGGGCCAGGGAGGCACGTTCCCCATCAAAACAGGCTGTTGTTACTCAACTCCAGACAGTCTGTCCATGTGGGAATGAAGACTCAGTGGGGCCACATCTTCTGACTTTCGAAGGTGGACCAAAGTCTCCCGATTTATAAAAAGCAGCAGCAAATTCCAAGCGCTCCTTCGGATCAGGCAAACCCTGCGCATGGCTTTGAGCAACCAGAGGTGGTCTTAATCAGACACTAATGAGTGAGGGGCCAGCATGACTGTGTTATGCAGAAAGGGTTGAGGAAGAGTGGCCCTTCGGATCTGAGGCCAGCGAGGGGAGAGGGTGGGCCGTCTCTGGGAGAGAAGCCAGAGCTTGGTCATGGCTGGTCTTTGGAAACGGACGAAGGAGCTCTCTGATTTCTTCCAGCCTTGGGGTCAAGATGCAGGTCGAGCTGACTGTGGTGGTGAGGTTGTGCTCTGGCGTGAGAAAAGGAAGACCCAACGGTAGGCCGCAAGGGAAGGCGAGTGTGAAAAACAGCGTCTCAGAAACACTGGAATTCCCCTTCTCTACCCGGCAGACCCTGCCCGGCGGCTGAGTGCTCGTCATGCGGGCTGCCCCGCCCTGGCCTTGGTTTTGAAGGTGTTTTGGGAAGGAAACTCAGGCTCTTCCTCTGTGATTTGGGGGGTTTTGAGAAGATAAGGTCTCCCCTTTCTGGCAGGTGACTCATTCTCCACAGTGGGGCTGTGGTTCGGAGCAAGGTGTGGGGACCAGGTGGTCTCAGGACGGACCGTACACAGGAGTCCACCTTCCTCTCCATCTCTCTCTCCGTCTCCCTCAGCTCAGCTTTACTCGTGTCGATCTGAGACTTCAAGGATAATCACTAAACCACAGGCACCTCCAGCAAGATCTTCCGAGTGTTATGAAGTTGTCTGAGCCTTGAATTGAGGGGTTTTCCTTTTATTTTGAGAAAGCATTTGGCTGATTCAACTACCTTCTTTTGAGAGATAAAGAAACAGACTTTCTTTGTAAAGTGATTCACTCACTTTTATTCAGTAGGGAGCAAGTCCAGGGTCTCTTGCTTTCTAGTTCTAGGAAATACCTTCTTCTTTTGGTTTCTAGAACACTACTCTTCCTCGCAATACCAAATGGAGCTACCAATTGGCCACCGTCCCTCTCATCTAGAATCTTCTGTAAATTTTATTTTCTTCTTTGTTCTAATGTCCTAGACCAGTGCCTGGTAGTTCTATAAATATTTACTGATTCTCCTACTGCATGGTCCTTCAGGAGATATTTGACAAATGTTTATTGATAATTAGTCCATCCCATGCATCAGCACAGTATGTGTACAAGAAATATTTATTGACTCATTGACTTCGTGTGTGGCCCTCAGGCCGGTGAGTGGGTAGGAGAAACACTCAATGGGCTGGGACTTATTTGCAAGGCTAACTTATTTACTTTGGAGGTGCCTTTTATGTAACATCTGAGGGCTCAAGGGTAAGTTCTCAGAGTCTGGTAGAACAAACTTGAACAAACTACTGGAGGTCCCTGTCTGGAAGGTGGACCCGCCTGATAGGCATGCAGATTCCTTCTGTGTATTTATAGGCCAGCGTGCCAGAGGTCACCTCTCACCTTTGCACAGACGGCCGCTCCTGTGTCACTAGATCTTCAGTGTTGCCAAAGGATACTTTCGGTTCCTTCTCTTAGTCTCAGGAGAGAGGATTTTGAACCTTCCCCCACCGTCTCAGCCCTGGACACCGCCCTCACCCTGCTCCCACTCCAGGCAGATAACTGCGCTGCCCACTTCTCTGAGAACATGGGAGAGGTCAGAAGGGCACGCCCTTGTTGTCTCCGACAGCAGGACGACCCACGTATTGCCGCTGTGGGCCTTCCCTCATCCGGTGGCCTTAGAATGGGACACTCCTCCTTCTTGCACTGAGCTCCCCAGTGGGCTCAGCTTCAGCTCCAGGTCCCCTGGGGAGGTTGAGCCCTTGCCTCCCTCTCGTGTGAGTTCCCCAGGGCTGGCATCACCAACTGCCACCAACTGGGAGGCTTAAAACAACAGAAGTTTATTCCATCACAGATCTGGAGGCCGGAAGCCTGGAATCAAGGCGTGGGCAGGGTTGGTCCCTTCCAGAAGCTGTGAGGGAGACTCTGTCCCAGGCCTCTCTCCTAGCGCCTGGGGGTGGCCGGTCACCCCCAGGGTCCCTTGGCTTGTAGACACACCCCTCGTCTCTGCCTCTGTGTTCCCGGGGCCTTCTCTCGGCGTGTCCTTTTTTGTCTCCTCTAAGGACACTCTCACTGGATTTAGGGCCCACCCTAATCCCGGAAGACTTCATCTCCATCCTTATCTTGTTTACATCTTCAGAGACCCTATTTATTCATGAGGTCATATTCTGAGGTCCTGGGTGGACGGGAACGTTTTGGCGGGAGCTCTACACCCACTACAACCTTCCCAGCAACGTCTCTTGACTTCACTTTGCTCTCTGTTCCTCAGTTCCCGAATCCACCAGGATCTTTCTGTGACTTGTAGGCTTTCTCTCGCCCTGTTGCCTCCATCCAGAGTGCTGGTTCTCAAACTTGGAATCACCTGGGGAGTTCTGGGGAAACAAAGGAAAAGCCCAGATTTTCCTGCAGAGCCTCCGATTTTATTGGAGACCTTCAGATGCCCGTCCCAGGGATTTTGAGGTGTGGCAAAGTTTAGGACCCTGGCCTTGCCTCCCCTCCCCTCTCTGCTCTACCCCTTCTTCTATCACTTGGTTAACTCTTCCTCATCCGAGGTCCCTGGATGGATGGCCCCTTGAGGAAGACGCTTGCCCTGACCTCTGACCCTTGACCTCACAGGGTAGGGAGCAGCGGGTGTTAACCAGCGCTTGGCACATAATGGCCATCTCTAGAATGTTCGTCAGAAAGAATGAAGGTGTAAAAACAAGCATCTCCAGGCTGCCTGGTGGGAGAGAAAGGCAACGTGAGCTGTAACGGAGGCGTCCGTACGTGCAGATGCCTCTTCCGCGAGCACCTTCCCGCAGGTCCTCGGCACAGGGGTCTCTCTGTTCATCCCCGTCAGAAACGCCTCAAGCCATTTTCCACCAGGCCCTGCCCGCTCAGGGCACAGCACATGAATTCACTTTCCTCATTTCGCAGGAATTGGGGGTTAGGTATGGGGTGTGGACTAGAAAATGGATTTCTCACATGGCCTTTTCAATCTCTCCACATAAACGTTGCACTGAGGGATAATTAAGATACAATGAATTGCACAGGCTGTAACTCTTCAGTTCAATGGCTTTGGACAAATGCGTGTAGTGGTGCAATCACCACCCAAAACAAGACACCGGGCACGGCCTTGTCCCGCGAGCATTCCCTCGTACCCTCAGTCAGGGCCCCTCCCAGCTGCCCACACACAGGCCCGCCAGTGACCCGATTCCTGTCCCCGCAGACGAGCTGTCCCTGTTCCAGGCCCCCACAGAACGGAACTGGGCCGCGTGCACTCTCTGGCGTGCGGCCGTTTGTGCTCAGTCCAGCGTCTTTGCGACCCGTCACTGTGACCGCGTGGATAGTATTCGATTGTATGAGTGTAACGATTGTTTATTTCCCATTGACGGACATTGGGGTTGTTTCTGGGGTCTGAGTACTATGGGCGAGGCTGCTATGGACAGTCTGGTTCAAGGTCTTCTGTGGACACTTTCATTTCTCTTGGGCGAATGCATGGGAATTGAACTGCTGGGTGATAGGGCAGGAACCAAAAGCAAAAATGCTGCAGTTTTTGTGTTTTC